TGATGGAACTGTTTACAGTAGCGTTTTTTATTTACAGACTTTTCGTAAAGTGATTTTTAATAACTTTTAAAGGACATAATTGCGATGGAAAATGTTGATCGCTGTAAGAATGCACTTTTTGGTTATCACTTGTTCTCTGCAGGACTTGACATTCTCGTTTTGGAGAGGTGTCTTGGGGGTATTAATTGCATCTAAAATGATGTTCTAATCTACAGAATAGCACAGCGACATACATTCCCAAGATAGTTTTGTTGATTGCTTTTTTTTTTTTTCGTTTTCGCAAAATATTTTAATGCTTTAACAATGATTTGTTCGAGATGTTTGGTGGGAAGTTTTCTTATTGCGCGTACGGCAGTTTTAGATTTTTGGTGAGAAACCTGCGTTTGCTGTTTGAATCACAAAAATTGATTGATACAAAAATTTATGCCTCATCAAACAGCAGTTATATGTGGGCGATGAAGATTTGTAAGATTAAATGCAGTATCTCTTTATTTTTTTTTACTTGTTCGACAGCCACCGTAGGGCATAAAGGGTTTCAAGAAATTTTCTTGTTTTTGACCATTTAATAGCAATTTGTGGGCTGGAAAACGGATTTTTGGTTATAGCACAAAAAGTTCTGGAGCCATATTGATATCTGTTTACAAAAAACAGAACTTGGATCTATTATAACTGAGGATTACGCGTAATGTATAAGTAGCTGAAATTACGCAAGTAATTCTGCCTAATAATGATGAAGGTTAAATTTCTTATAATAATTTTATTTTTTTTCTAGTTTTTTAGTCTTTTTTTTTGTTTTTTATGATTGGCATTTACTATTTATAAGTCTGGAATTGCAAAATAGTTTTTTTTTGGCTGATAGGAGAAAAGGAGGTAAATATTTAATAATTGGTTTTAATTCAGACAGTCATTGCAACTTATTTACATAACAAGAATGTTTTAGAAAGAAAAGGATCTTGAGATAGCAGCGAGGATTGGACAGTCTTTACTCGAATTGAATCGTGAACTGAAGACCAGGTAATGTCTAGTTTTACCGTCAAATTTGGTCACCTCTGACGCTTTTCCCTTTGCCTAAATTGACCTGTATACTTTTGATAGGTATACTGTAGAATATTGTGCTAATTACGTTGCACTGTTTGTTAATTTTATGGTGTATTGGGAAAATAAGTACTTTTTACTTTTTAAAATGAAAATTATCTAAATATCTTTTATTTATTGGGGGTCTTATTACTTCTCTCACATCTTGGTATGGGGAGTTTTTTCGTTTTTGTAATTTTTGGATTGAAATGATGAGCGGAGTGTGATACTTTAGCATTTAAAGTATAGGATGATTGAAGAAATTCAGGAGAAGCAGAGGAGTTTAAATAGGTTTTGATGACGAAAACTAGTGAAGATGGATGGAAAGGATAGTTCTCTATGTAACTTTTTGGTTCCAAAATGAATAGAATTGAAGAATTTTTTAGGATTAAGTCCTGATTAAGTGAACTATACAATGAAGAATAAAGGTGAAAAATTGAACATTGATTTCCGCACTATTTAAAGCATCTAGAAAATATTCCTTTATGAATTTAAAAGCAAAAAAGAAGCGGGCAAAGTGATTGAAGAAAATGCAGTAGCGAAGTGAAGTAACTGAAGACTCTGGTTTAAGCATTTTACTTTTAAACATTTATTATGGGGTTAAACTAGATTTTGGAATTTGCTGGCTCTGTAGCTGTTATTTTCTACTTAAAATCTACGCAGAAATTTTGTGAAAAATCAGTCTTATTTCTGTTAAAGAAACATTCTACTTTGGTCGTACAAATTTGGTCCACTTTGTAACCTTAAATTAATGAATATTTTTTAGCTTGCTTTTTTATTTTATGTCTTTTCACTTCCTATTCCTTAACTCTTTTAAACTTATTATGCACTGAAATAAATTTAAATTCAAATTTAACTGAGGACTGTATGATAGTCATTAACTTGTTCACTGGTCTTCACCGGTCTTTTTTTTTCTTTTTTTGGGATTTTGACATGTAATAGTTTAAGTCGAATTGTTTTGAACATGTTATAATTTATATACTTGTCAGAAGTTGACTTCGTTTGCTTGTTGCAGAAATGATTTTTTGGAAGAATCGTTGAATACAAGTAATGAAACAATTGTACAATTACGACATGAGCTGCAACTCAGGACCAACTTATTGCACGCTTACGTTGAAAACGAGGACGAGCTGGATGCTAATTCAATGTGCGTTGTATACCTCTTTTTTTTTCTTTTTTTGAGAGAGAGGTAATAATTTAAGTAAATTGGCTGAGTGGCAAATTAAGGGAAATTTTTTTTTTTGGTTTTACTGTCTTGCACTTCTTATTATTATTATTATTTTTTTTTTTGAATTCAGGGAGAGCGTTGATGGTTTACAGTGGAAGGTCAAGAAACTGGAAAATGAGAATGAGAACCTTCGGGCTGAGGTTGTCCAATTATTTTTTTACAATTAAATATTTCTCTTTTCTTTCTTCATTGGGTCAGCACTAAGTTCATCAATCTTTTTAGGCTTTACAACTGAAAAAGCTTTCCTCCGGGTTAGAGGAAACTGAGCGTTTACATATAAATGAGTGTTCTAAAAACCTCGACATAGCAAATGAAAAGGTTTTTTTGTTTTCAAATTGTTCGATACATTTTAGTTGACTGCTGGCTTATCTTGTTATTACGGTTTGGTTTTTAGATCAGCCAGTTAAAAGTTTTATTATCGGAAAAGAGCGCTGAATGTGCAACTCAGAATGCGGAAGTAGAGCGGTTGATGAAAATCGTTACAACGCATAGTTCGCGCGAAAAGTCGGTCAGTTATGTTATATTTTAATTGCCTTGACACCTTGTTTTCGAAGTCACACTCGTTAGTTATGCACTTACCATTTTGCTTGCAGTTCTATACACAGTCTGTGAATGTAAGTTTAAATGTCATCTGTTTTTATAAGCTAGGAATTTTACATGCATATATGATGGTTACTTTTAAACTGCCTGTAGAAATGTCTTATCTGTTAATTATTATATGATAGTCATATACTTTCAGTTGGCTGCTGAAAATGCAGATTTACGAGAACAGATTGATGAAACAATGGTGGTGTATGAAGAGTTGTCGAAAGATTATGCAGATCTCCAAGAAAAGTACACTGAAGTTCTTAGTATGTTGCAAGACGCGGATGAAGAATTAAAAACAGTACGGAGGAGTATGGGCAGAAACCAGTAAGACTTTTCAGTGATCTTTTAGTGGTCGATTTCTGTTTCTGTGTTACTTTTGGGCTTTTCTGTTTTATCTAATTGATTAAGTACTATGCGTAATTGCAGTATTGGAAGTATAGATTCATTGTATGATTCGTTGGCAAGCGAGTTGGAAACTTCTGACAGTGGTTTATGTAGCGGAATTAACTCATCTCGGTAATTCTTCGGGAATTATTGCGGTTTTTTCCTGATTCTGTCTTCGATAAAGTTGTTTTAATTTCTTTTGAGAGTCATATATGCGACGTTGTTAAACTCATTGTTTTTTTTTAGCGAGACTCGAAAATCGGTTGAGGCGACAAGTAAGTTTCCTTGTCTTCAATTCGAGCTGGAAAGTGCTTGTTCCGTTGAAGCTCAGAAGAAACAAGCTGTGTCAGAGGCTGGTATTTTTCTTTTACGGTCTACCACAGGTTTCTTCAGTCAGTTTTCTAATATGAGGCCAAATTATAAAATTCAATTTAATTTTAGAAGACGTCTATGGTTGAAAGTTGTGTGACACGGGACGAGTTGGATGAAGGGCGTGATGTTTCGCCAGTGCAAAAATCGCGATCTTCTTTATTATGTTGTTCTTCAGATACCAACCCATCAACTTCTGTAAACAACAGCTTCCTTGTAAAACCAGAAATAATACTTGAAGTAAGCAAAATTTTAGGGTCTTTTGGCTAAGCAAATGGCATTTCTATCTAAGACTGACAAGTAGAATACTCGCCATTACTATTACAATATTTATTTTCGTTCTAGGAGCCTTGTGGTTCTGAGAAAGAGTTGGAAGCTGTAGAGTATTCTACCTTTTGCTGTAGAACTGATGAATTATCAAAATCACCTTCAAATGACTCGCTTGCTAGCTATGAAGGTCCCAAATTTGGTGAACCTGGGAAACCTGGGACAAGGGATCTTGATTTCTCCTTAAAAAAGCGAGGAATTAGGAGAGAAGTAAGGTTTTTTGTTTTTGTTGGGTTTGTCATTATTATTTTGTTCATGGTTTAGGGAGGGCCGATTTCATGTCATATTATAAAGTGGGAGCCTGAACTTCACCTGAGGAGTTCAAAAATGTTGTGGTTTTTGTGTCACTTTTGGGGGATTTTAAAAAAAAGGATTTTTGTAGCAAGCTTAGAGTTGTGCACTTATTAACTTCTTGAAAGCCTTAGATATCTGTTCAAGCGGTATTCTGGATTTAATTTAGATTGAACAGGAATATGCCAGATTTAGGCTACAGAGGGGACTTTCGTCGTTGAATTTGCCATTCTTTTCAGTACCGTCTCTTGAGGTAACAAAATATTTTATTAAAACATATTCACTTTTTTGATGGAACTTCTGATGATAATCTAGTTGAATCAGATTCTTTTTTTTAAATGGTTTTTTGAGCATCTTTTGTGCTCATACATCCCAGCTGGCGCCTAAAGTGCATAAGTCCTAATATTTTGACTTCCTTCTGTTCTGCAGTAGGCTGTAAAATAAAAGAAGTTAGCTTTGAGATCCTTCTGTTTGAGGTGATCTTGAGGATTGCTCACTTTTTTCCACCACCGTGGTTTTCAATAAGATTTTTTGGCGGTGGTGTTGCTGTTTTAATCACATTATATACACTTGGGATTGTTTACTTACTGAAGGTGTTTGACCCACCATTAAGCAACAGTCGCAGTCCGTTAGAATTTTGTGACAAGTGGGGTTTTTACCTGCATAACTTTATATGAAATATCTTTCTGTTTATTGCTGATTAATTCTTGTGGTATTTCCGCTTTGGTTTGCCAGATGCTAGCTTTTTTGTGTTGTATATTTATTTTTCTTTTAGAAGTTAATGCAGAAAAGCCCTCCCTTCGGTATAGAACTTACAAATTTTGGAGCTAATACGCTTAACAGTAACAGAATGGAGATCTTAGCAAAGTGGAAGTGTTCTACATCCAAGGGTTTGGTTGAGCCACTAGAATTGGGCGACTCACAAACTGCTGTCCTGTCTCGCGCTAGCGCTCGAAATTTCTACTCTTCAGCTTCAAAGCTTGCAACCTTCGTGGGAAACCGGTCAAATTTTGGAGAAAAAGGTATCGTTTAGGTTTTATTTGTTGAAACGTGTCTTTTGTGGATTTGCGTTGTGTTTTAAAACAATGTTCTCAGAATCGATAGTTTAGCAAAGGAGGAAGTTTTAGATTCCCATTACAGGTAGTAAGGCTTTTCGCTGCTGGAATATACATGACAGGCTATTCCTTCTTCTAGAAGTGAACAGCATTGATTACTGCAAATAATGTTTCCTTTTTGGTGAGTTCAGCTTGAAGTGGCTGGAACTGGTCAAAGTTAAATGAGTTAAAACTGGAAGAGCTAGGTATGATGATAAGGCTCAGTTAGTTGGTTTTTTTTTTGGATCTCTCGTTGAGGTTTTCAAAAGCTGCTGCTTGTTCATGTCGCACTTCCTCCACCATTTAGTGCGTATTACTCACACTTTTTTGCATTCCAGAGTTTTTCGTGGAGACAGTAGCAGCGGTTTTACATATGATGTCGTGTTAATTTATTCATTAATTTCATTGGACGTTTTATTCAATTTCCCAGTAATTCCTATCATCTTTTATTAGAGCGGCGAGAAATTGTTGTAAAGAGCGGAGGGTTAGGAGAGGAGGTAGTTTGGTGCTGGGATTTCTTAAATTAGGGCCCATTGACAGAAATGACGAGATTAGCAAACACTCTCGCTGCTGAAGTAGAATCGGAACCCAATATCTTAAGGTAGAGCATCTAGGTTCTTGGGTGTTCTGAGTCGTAGGTCGTTGGTGAAGATGGCCACTTTAAACATTACTTTTTAAGCTGACTTGTTTTTGAATACAAGTTTATATAAAGAATATTTGCTTTTTCGTTGTTGTCTCTTGCGACTCACTGCACTTTTCTGTGAGATGGTTTGTTTCACTGTGTAATTTATAGGTCATCGTGTCATTCAGGACCCTTCAGACGTTCTAAAAGGTTTGGGCATTTGTAACATTTCATGGCCCTTTCTACCTCGATATGACAAGTTTTCTTCAATACACTGTTTGCGCCGTTCCGACAGTTCAAGCCTTGTGGGATCTCTCTCTTCTTTTGACTTTCCACTAAAACAGTTAAATTCAGGAATTGTGACTAGGATGAGGTCAACCACGTAGAATTTGCTTTTTCTAATGTATCTGTTTAACTTTTAGAATCTACTAAATACCATGGTCAAACTTTATTGAGTATTAATGTGATGGAGCGGACTATAGTGTCAGTATTTGAGGTGAAAGTTTTTTCGCCTGCGAAACATTCTCGTAGACTAGTCAACTTGCATTTTACAGCTCACTTGCTCATTTTACTTTCTGAAACGTCAAGTGTTTTGAGCGTACTTCCCCCTCCATTATTCTTCTCTTTGATTTTTAATTATTTCTCGGTCTAAGTAAATGCTTATTGATGACCCTGTACTAAGAGAAGATGCAGGACGCCGCGGGTCCATAAATCTGTGGTATAATAGGCTAGGGCTCGTGTACAGTTATTTTAATTTTTCATTTTTAATAGTCTCTTATACTGAAGTAAAATTTGCTTTTATTGTATATAGCTTTTAGGTATCTCGTATTTATTCGGATCGTTTTTATCCGGTTATTTTGCTTCACTGTGTTTGTGTATGCGTGTAAAACTAGTAAGTAATCGGATTGCCAAGTTTTATGTAAGATTGCTTCACTTTTTTATTAACATGAAGCAGAGGAAACTAATAAAGGTTTACCGCTGAATTCATATGCTACTATGTTGCACCACAAAAAGCCAACATTGGGCAGTTGTTTTACAAACTAGACAAGGGCACGTCAGTCTGTGAGTTTTCATTTTTATTGTCCCATCACTGCCTTGGAGAGAGCATTCAGAAATTGCCGCTACCTGAGTGCATGTAAACGCAGTATTTCTGCGGATGCGATGATCTGTAAGTCATAAAGCGATTCAGGCTTCACGAAACGGCTGAGACGAGCACACTGGTGAACGAGGCAAACAGCTGGAACAGATGAGTGCACGAGACGCCTCGTAACAATATAGCACTCAAGTAATCGGAGTAAACTTTCCAAAAGCAAAGGGCAGGCTCATGCTTATCAGCAGGCAATCTTGCCGGAAGGCAAGAACTGCAGCATCTTAGTTCTCTTCTTGCCAATTGCCCCGCTTCTCCATCCCTTTTCTTGAGATGCAATATTCACACAGTCAGATGCGATAACCTCATGAATCTCACTTCCCTTTGCACAGTCGTTAAAAAACTGCTTCGCAGCTCGCCTCGAAATCGTAGTGCTCTCATCTGACAGCCCAACAATGGTAACTTTTTCTTCTCTCACTACATATTGCTGGTGGGCTACTTCCCCACACCGGGTTTACAAAAATACTCGAGATAAGACAACGAGCACCAACCAAAATAAGTATACAGTTCTATACAAACTCCACAACTCTCACTGAGACGAAGTTGGCGCTTGGAAGAAAGCTAAATTACAATGAAAGTTATTAGCGACTGGAGCAAACTACCAATAACGTTAAAGCACATATCGACAAGAAAGAAGTTATTGAGAAAAATTGCATTTATGAAGGCAACGCACTATGACCAAAGTACACAATATCACTATCCAGACTAGATAACGAAAAGAAAATTGAAGAATTAACTCGGGGGGGGGGGGTAATGAAGGTAAAGTAGTTTTAAAAAGAGAAAATAAAAAACCAAATTGAATGCGGTCATCTGAAACAGTATAATCAACAAATTTTACATACACACTTCCAAGGAATAAGCAATTCTAAAAATGTTGCCATTCATTTCTATTACGACTATCCATCTCGTTTTGGTTGACGACCTCTTCACTGATGCTTTGATGCAACCAGATGCGTTCCAGCCTCGCGTAAAGCTCTTTGTTCAAATGGAGCGGGTTCCCACGTCTGAAACTTACTTTTCAAATCGATAAGAAGCTAGTTCCGTACTCACGTGGTCATTCGCTACAAAGCAGTGGAGGAAACTACGTAACATTTTTAAAAACTACCTGAATCCAAAATCCGTCTCTCCGAACTCATCAACGTAAGGAGCAGGCAAAAAGCAGCCACGAGAACGAGTTGTAAGAAGAATCACTTGACAGTCCCTTATTCTGAAATCAAGCTCTTAAGCAAATACAGACTTTAATATTGAAAAAATGGAGTGAAAGGTTTAAGCGTGATCAAAAAGTCAACCGTGGTTTCAAGAAGAGACAAACAGCGAGACGCTGCACCACCGATTTTCAAGCGGGTTGGAAATAATTAGCCAAAAAGAAATGGGGAGACAATGACGTTTAAAAGAAGCTTCAGGTTTAGAACAAAAGACACGTGCTGAAGACTGGTATGTTTGCTGAAGAAATGAGAATTATGTAGAAATAATTGAAAACTGACCTTAAAAAGATTCCTCCCGAAGGTCCAGAACACGTTTGTAAGTGAAAAGAACACGCACCCTTCGTTCCTCTACTAACCTGAAATCGACGACTTTAAAAGTGAAAACAAATTAAGCATTATTACGTACAGCACGGGCTACATTTTTTCTTTTTTAGAAAAACGTATTATGTAACAGCTAACCACGCGTTGGCAACAGTAACTCTGTGAGCATAGCAAAGAACCACAAATCAGACAAAGGGTTGGCATTGAAGAAATGTGAACATCAAGCATACTGGTGGGACACCTGAAAGCAAAGAGAGCCACTTCATATTTCAAAAACCTAAATTTAAGGTCAAACTTTGAAGCCTAACAAGTAAAATGTTTAAATTAACTTCGCTTGAGGGCTTCTTAAAAACTCCCGTATTGAAAAAAACACTAAAAAATCCCGTCGACCTCAATTAAATGTCGTTCAAGGTGTAGCACTCGTACACAACCTCCTACAAAGGCGTGCTTCAAAGGGGATAATACCTGAAGTTTGCTGCAGTATTTATAAGCTCGGAAAAGTCTTCTGGAAGCTCAATGAGAGTGTTTTCAAGTACAGGCTGTTGAACCAAACTCGCAAGCGTTGACTGATCTTGGTCGATTATGCTTTGAGACCTCCAGCTGCAAATTAAAAGGTTCATTAGGCAAATAATCGGCTGCTTCACTTTAATAAAATAAAAGTCATCTGTTACCTCCGTTCTCGCTTTTTTTCTAAAGGCTAGATTGGAAAAGAAAACCTTGATTTCCTGCATACAGACTCCCAAATGCAAAATACGACAGCGAGAAAGGAATAAAGACATTTGCAACAACCACAAAGAAAAAGACGCAGGAAGATCGACAGGAAAGAACGCATACAGGGTGAACAAGTACTCCGTACTACTGTCCAAAAACAATTCTGCTATATCTGACGGGAGCCCAAGATAGCGGCACAACGGATGAAACTCATCATATGAGGGGACTAAAATAACGTTTCTGAGTATTAGTTAAGCGCAACGACTCTGAAGAGTCGTGCACCAAAATGCAAAAGCTATTATGAGTAAAAAAATTTAATGAACCTTTCAGGGCTTCCGGAGGAGGAACGAGTGTTAGGGCATGGAAGAACAAAGCTAGCGGTTTAAGGAACTCTACGATTCCAACAAAAAGCGCCTGAAAGAAGGCAAAACAAGTGGCAAAGTCTCGGTGATACCCAAAGGTATGGGCCTATAGCGTACACCAGTTCTGCTAATGAAAAATAATTTGAGATAAGACTTCCGAGACTCAATATATGAATCAGGAGCAATAATTGATAGAAAACTTGACCCTCTACATCAAGTTACCAAATAATTCCTCACCAAATCCGTTGTTTACTTCACATTAAAATGTAACCTCTCTATTAATGTTTGACGGTCAGTAATCTGTGGACGAAGTCCGTTAGCTGTAGCTGTGAAAAGCAGCTTTAAGAAGTGAGATACGCCAAGAAGTAAAAGAGTGAAAAAAACCTACACTTATAAGCTTATTTTTGGTACACGCATAACAGAAGAAAAATTCCAACTAAAGCAAACCTAACAAGATCAAATTAACAAAATTCCATGGTGAAAGATAAGGGAAAAAAGATAAGGAAGCTTTAGAGGAATTTTTCTGTAGTACTTTACAAGCCGACTGCTTCAGACTGCTCTAAAATACTTC